TGGTTCTTCTTCTTCTTCTTCTTCTTCTTCTTCTTCTTCTTCTTCTTCTTCTTCTTCATGACTTTTCCAACCATCCGATATTTTGCTTTTCGGACTTTTATGTAATACACTATGTATAACCCCTGTGTTTTGCCATTCTGCCTGCCTGGGTTGCGTTGGTTCCTAACCAAGTTTCTATGTTGTGTTCCCATCTTTTCTCTTCGGTTTCCTCATACTTCTTTAGCCTTCTAACATTGCTTCTAGATATTATGAAAATGCAGGTATCATATTTCAAAAATTCCCAACCGCCACCCTTTCAATATAATACTTTTTTATCACTTCTGTTTACAGAGCATCAACATCAGGATCGCTAACAAGCTCTACGACCGCTACATGCGAGCATACGACAACTTAGATCACCTGAAACCTTACTCACCTGGACAGAGAGCTCTTCACAAGCATATCAAACAGGTATTCCTCATCAAACAGGTACTGCTCACCGGCATAAGTGATGTAGGGACTGGGCCTTTTCCTCACTGCCGCACGCAGGAGACCAGGGTTTGATTTCCCAGTTTGGAGATTTTTTTCGCTTTTTAAAAAATCAAGCAACTCCGTCTTTCCGGTATCTCGGTCTTTCTGCTGAGATGTTGCATTCCTCTCTGTCCGGATTGGTCTTAACAGGCAGAGTTGGAAAACCGCCTCCTATATGATCTAAATTGTGTCGATGGGGGTGTAAAAAACACATACATTTTTAGGAAAGGAACTTATTGAGGATGCACAATCTGAACATTCGATAACGCTTGATGATGGCTGGCTGTTTTGGGGCACTTTAAAAAACAACAACAAACAAATACCAAAGCCTAACTACGTTTTTCAGACTGATTTCTATCTGAAACTTAAAAGGTCAGGTAACAACAAGCGTTCTATGAAATATATGTGTCATGACGCGGTAGCAGTTTTTGTTTCTTCATTTGATTGTTTTTTGTTGGTTTTTTTCTTGTTTTTGGTTGTTGTTGGGGTGTTTTTTGTATGTCTTGCGCGAAGACTTTTTATGTCCTTTTAAAAACACGTTCAAGCATGAATTTTGCTTAAAGAAATGTGATCAAAAGCACTTTTAAAATTATAAATTTGGAGTTTCTAAGGAGACTACAGCTTTGCAAATCGTCAAATTTTCTTGATAATTTTCATCTTGGACGCTAAGGAAGTCCCACTTCTCTTAATTGCAAAAAAGATCTCGACTTCTATTGACAATTCTATTCAAGATAAATGGATACTTTCCTCATCAAACGCAAGGCAAAATAACAGACTTTAAGATGATAAGAAAAACTCCATATTCCCAAAATTGACGAGCGCCTGATTCCACCGCGTCGTGACACAAAATAATTCACTTGTCTGGTTTGTGCATGAGGCATGTCCCTTTTGACTTCTCTTTGAGCATATATTGTTATACAGGACACGGGCAGAAGGTTGAAGAGCGCCACTGGTATGTCCTACTTCTTCACTTTCCCTTTGTTGTTTCTGTTTGTCTGTTTTACTTTTTCACAACCCTACGTGATCATTATTGTGTCGATGTGCTTCAATTTACTCATACTAAACAAATAGAAAACCCCCAAAACACAAACAAACAAGAGGGGCACGTACTCGCAAAGGAACTGACTCTAAGATTCAGTTTATGTGTTTAAGTGTAATTCTTCAGAACGAATGCATGGGTAAAAATGAAACTCTTACCACCAAAACAATAAAATATGGACAAAGTGAAATAATGTTAAACTTTCTGACCTAGACAAAACAATCAGAAAACATCATACTTGACGTCTATTGTCGTGTCGACATGCATTAGCAAAATGTACACAGCACTTTGCAATCTGTGTATGTGTAATTTATTTAACTCTTTGTAGCTGGCGAGCTATTTGAAGTGGTGCCGGCATCGCTTTGTTCTTTACAGTCATGGCAAATATCTACAAAACCACTACAAATACATCAAAAAAAAACAAAAAAAAAAACTACATACACAACACAAACCTCGCGTGCATGGGCGCACCTGCATTATATAAAAACGAAATAAAGGGAAGGACAAGCGAGACATTATATAAAAACGAAACAAAGGGAGGTCAAGCGAGACATTATATAAAAACGAAACAAAGGGAGGAGAAGCGAGACATTATATAAAAACGAAACAAAGGGAGGACAAGCGAGACAGAGTTGCGGGAGGGGGGATGGAGGAACAAATAAGCTGACTAATCTAAATCCCGGAAAAGGCTTGAAAAGAAAATGGGAAAAGGGGGGGGGGGGGAGGGCTGGTAGTGTCAAGATATCTCGGGAAAATTGGCATCTATGTTTTGCTGTGCGACATGCCGAACTACTGGTCACCTTTTCAGCTGCTATGTCGCCGTTTCAGAAGAATTTGCGCTTCAAACACATCAAAAAGTTGCCTGCCGCATAAAGAGGGAAAAAAAGAATTCTTGCAACAAAGAAAAAATGCCCCAAAAGACCACCCGACTTTGCTTTCTTTTCTCTCCGGTATTTGGCAAGCTCTTCTGTTTCTTTCAATTCCTTTTTCTTTTCGATTATTTCCACGCGAAGTTTTTCTTCGGCCTTTTCGAGTAGGGCTGTTTCTCTGTTTCGTATTGTGAGCAGAAAGGACTGAACAATTGTCTTGAGAGGTTGAATAACCCCGGTTCCCTGATCCTTTACATCGATTTCATCTATCAGCTGATTTGCCTTCTTTTTCAATTCTGCCAGCGCTTGAGGGCCGTCAGCCTGGTCGACGTTGGCTTTTTCTAAAGAGTCTCTAAGCTGGTTGCATTTTCTTCTGATCTCCTCTTCAATCTCAGGATTTTTTGCTTTCAGGATCATCCTGTTATGCTCTCCTCTCCTGGCAGCAAACAGAGCTGTAGTGTAAGGCTGGACATTGTCAGGGAGCCTGGCCACCATCTCCGCCAGCTCTTTCACCTGGTCACGAACTGTGCTCGGATCCTTCGATCGGTTGTCAAACAAGACGACTCGACCACCGCATTCTTTGATCAAACTGGCAAAGTTGTTGTTGTGCTTGACACACCAGTCCTGGATCGTCGTGTCCGGGGTTTCCTCCTCCTCCATAGCAGATCGGAAGTTGTCCCCTCCCGTCACGACACACACACCGTACTTGCGGAACACGTCAGGACCCAGTAGCTGTTTGAGGAACTCAACGTTGTCCTCATCTTGTCTCGTGAACCGACGGCCGAAGTTGTAGACAAAAAGCATGGCATGAAATCCGTCGGTCATGGATAACGAAATAGTCATATCTTTGATTGCGCTTTCGACAGCTTCCTGTTTGGTTGGGCGGGGTTCCCCGATCCGCAGACCGTCGATGATGTTGAAGTTTTCTGACTTAGCTGCTTCGATCTCGAAAGTCACTGCAGATGCTGTGGAGGAAGTCTTGAACGCTCTCCTCCCCAAGATTGAGTTACCAGTCGCGGATTTGCCATGACCAGTCCCGCCCATCAGAAGCAAGTTAACACAGGGATGCATCCTGGGAGTTTCTCTGGACATAGATGAAAAGAGAAGAGGAAAAGACAAAACCATTACCATCCACACTTATCAAGGGCTGCCCCCCCCCCCTTTTGCACCTGTATCAAGATTAGGAAAGTCAGTAGACTTATCTTATGTTTTAAAACCCATTTTCTCATTATTATTACTGATGTCAAAATATTGTGTCCTAGCCGCTTCATATTTTTTTTAAAATCCAGTAGGCCCTACCTGTTTAACAACAACGGCAAATAACGTCTCTGTTAAAGAAAGATAAAGGAAGAGGGCGGGTGGAAAGAGTTTGATTCTCCTTTGATAGTACTGTACCCGGTTTAATCTATCATAGTAGTCTCCACCCGAGAACCCATCGTTTATGGTCCCGGTTCACTTAAGAATCTGTCGTTCAAAGAAAAAAAAAAGAAACAACTACCCCTAAAAACAACAACTTTCATCACAGAAAAATCACCCCTAAGGTCCCACTCTGGAGTCTGAAGTTCCCGCATTTTAGATATTGTTTTACTAAACAAATAAAAACTTCATGGATCATCCACACTCATGCATACATACGATCACATCTCCGCTCTAAATTTCTCTGTGTTTCTGTTACTACTTTTCTCTCTCTATCTTACTCCCCCAGGCCCACCCCACCACCTTCACCCCGCTCTTTTGCGCACATTCCCTCCCATACCGTGCGTAGCCCACTGCCTAGGCCTAATATCCTTTGTAAAGAAAAAACCGGTTCGCGCTGTGTGACCATAGATGGTGACATATTATAACACTGGGCGTGCTGTGCGCGGTGCCGCGAAGAGAGAGAGAGAGAGAGAGAGAGAGAGA